TTTCATGATAAATGTTTTTGTATTTCCTATATGAAATTGTAAATTTTAGAAATTTTATGTTTCTTGTTTCTGTTCCTGTTATGATTTCAAGAATGGAAATTTACACGACAACATTTTATTTTTTCAGAAAATCTATAGTATAAAATTGAGAATGGAAATGGGGAATGTGTCAAAGAGACAACAACCCGACCATAGAGCAGACAACAGCCGAAGGCCACCAATGGGTCTTCAATGCGCGAAAAACTCCCGCACCCGGAGGCGTCCTTTTGTTTATGTTTTTTTTTCAAAGATTTGATTTTAGATATGATTACATGATTTTGAGACAATAAACAGAAGGTTTTTCATCGATTTTACGAGCTTTCTATACAAATGTACATCCACTTTGAAGGATTTCATTCAACGACATTTAAGCAAGTTCACCAGTAAACTTGGTTATTTTTCGATTTACTGTAAGTGTTTGTCGTGCAAGAGTCGCATGTGAAATTTTAACAAAATCTGTGACATAACCCATTTACTATTCCTTGACATTAAGTGATAACTTTTACGCTTTCTGAGTAGAAGCGACAACAAATAGTAAATGGGAGATAACTCCCATATGGAAAAGTGTTTGGTTAAAAACGGTGAGTTTCAAAAGCACAATCAATAACTGTTCGATATCATACCAAATATCGAAACAAAAGCCAGAATTCATAAACAAAAGTCAAACGAAATCAAAAGGTCTTTTCATGGCAAGGTGGAAAGGCCTAATTACAGAACATTTTATTCCGAAAATGGTTCCTTCTGATTCTTATTATGGCACCCTCAACGGAGTTGGGGTGACGTATTGTTATTCTACGTTTCTTTTTTTCCTTATTTTTATTCTTCTTCCACACATTTTGTCCGCGCTAGTTCTCGGAATTGAATGGACCAATATTGATGGAACTATGCTATAATGTTGACCACCATGTGAAGTTGTGCACCTAACTTTGGAATGTGCAAGATGGCCACGGTTACCATGGAAACTAAAAAATGTAAAAAAAAATCTAAATTCTTAAACCTTTATTCTAAGACCCAATCTTATGAAACCTTATGGAAATGTTACCTGGTATGCCTAGATGTGCAGACAGTATTTAGAAGTACCAAAATGGCTGCCATTGTGATGGAAACAGGGCGAAAGTTTAACATTGACCCTATGGGAAAATACATAAAAAAATCATTTTCTTAAGGAATATAATATCAAATACAACAAAACTTTATGGATATGTAACATGGAATGTGCCCATGAAACATCTGTCTTTTGAATTTTAGAAATGGTCACTGTTACCATGGAAACAGCAGAAATGTCCAAAAATTTCAAAATGATCCAAACTTTATGAAAATTTACAGAAATGTTCAGTGGCGTGTCAAGAGATGATATTCGACTTTGGAATTTCTAAAAATGGACGCCGTTACCATGGAAACAGCAAAATTTCAACAAATTTCAAAATCCTCCAAACTTAATAAAATTTTACAACAATGTCAATTAGTATGTGTACATACACTATTTGATTTTTGGGACTTCAAAATGGCTGCCGTTACCTTGGCAATGGGGAGACGAGGGTGCCATCCGTTATTGCTAGCAATTACAAATCTAGTTTAAATTTGAAATTGCATGCAGAACTTATCCGAAATCAAAGATAGTCGCTCTTTATTTATTTTATTTAAAATCCGATGCGAGATATATACTTCTAAATGTCATGCTGATAGAAAAACAAAGGATATGGGGTATCCATGAACCATGACACAAAATCAGTACATGCACAGCAAAAAACAGCCAAAAGTAAAGGTCTTGTTATTGTTTGTTGCTTTCTCATACATGTATTGACCCAAGTCCCTATATTCACGTAATCAATCAAACATATTTTATTTCAATGATCAGGTCAAAAAACGTACATATGACATAAGAGAAATACAGTCTGTACGGAGCTTCTGGTTTATCTTATAATATTATCAATAGTTTTGGTTCACGCCATGTTTTAAAGATTAAGTGAACGTTTAATAAATTTAGTATTTATTATCTCGATTAAATTTTTTCTAACGGATCGCTTCTTTATTTACCCGTTGAGGGAATAATTAGGTTAGGTACTTTAGTATGATTTACTAAACAAAATTGTTATCAAAAGACAGTAAACAATGGACATTATTTTATTATCACGTGAATAAAACTGTGTACCAGTTTCTGCCCCCTCTCCCTTTTCCGTTTTGTTTTACCATAACTCTGAAATGACATATCACATCAGATTTTTTTTTAAACCGAACAGTGTGTTAGGTTCACCAATTTCACAATAATGTAATATTGTCAGTAAATCAATATTATCCAGATTAATAATGTCAAAAATTTGATTGATTGGTTGTGGTTTTCCTATCATTCAGTGACAAACATGTCTTGCATATTCGGAACGAGAACAATTGTTTTTAACAATAAATCAGTCCGGCTGAATTTCGAATACAACTGGAAAATGACGATATGTAGCTATAGGAAAGAGATATAAAAATAAATATTTACCTTGCAAAAGATCATCTAAGTGCTCAACAAAGAGTTGTTTTGATGATTCTTAAATATTTAACGTGCAGCGATCGTGGCAGTTTTCTCATTTTCGGCGGTAGTGACTGCTTGCATGTATTTATACATCCCAAAACAGCCAAACGGACACTCAATGTTTCAAATAACGGTCGAATTTCAGGATTTAAATATTTATGCTTCAAGTTAAATAAGATAGATAGAATTTTATCTTTTTATACTAAACAAATTTGACTCTGTAGAAAAAGTCCAATGCAAATTATTAAATAAAAAAAGAAAGCGGTGGGTTAACTGGCACTTAATTAGCGGCGGTTCTCTTTCAGATACCTTTCTTATCATAAAAGGGGGAAACAAGATAAACATGCCTATTGAAGCAAATAAACAAAAAAAAGTAAACCGTGTCAGCATGGTACTCGATTCCTTCCACAAGTATGCTTTCTGATTTTCCTGGAATTCGTATACACAAAATTAGAAATGTAGCATTTGTGTAAACAATAACATCAGTTGCTACAACCAATTTTCATGTTTGAGTAACAAGAAATTCGAAAAAGTTCATAAGTATTTTTTGAAAAATAAATTTGAAAGTAAGAAAAATATACCAAGGGGCAACCAAAAACAACAATTCAAATAAAAACAGATAACACTATGCCCCTCCCCCCCCCCCCCCCCCAAAAAAAAAAGACAACAAGACGAAAAGTGCACAACACACTACAGAGAATCTCAAAATCGGGCAACAGGAAAACAGCTTAAATCGGAGGTGAACTCAGGTATTCAGGAAGGGTAGGTAGTTTCTTTTCCATAATGAAATATATATTTTCAGTCAGAATAAATATTTCAAACTCAATGGTAGACCGGGAAATAAGTACTCATTATTTTTCTTCAATTTTAGAGCTTTTTGTAAAGAGAAAGAACACATACGTAGAACAAACTGTATCTCTGCCTATGCAAAGCAAGAGGGACAAGCATGGAGTAATGTGCGGGATGTGGTATTTTTTTTAGGTGAAGTACATGTACACATTAATTTAATGGAATTGCAAAAAGGTGGTAACGCAATGAGGATCCATAAACGGTGACGCATACTAGGTAAAATATCAAAATATGCTCGTTCCATAAGGTTTAGTTTTAAATGATGAATTGGTATTCCTTACCTTACCAAGTAGATTTTTACTCTGTCTGGATTTAAGTGTTAAAAAGCATTAGTTAGAGGTTTTGACGTGCTTATAGACTTATATACATGATTTGTTTATGTCCCCGCGACAAAATGTCGAGGGGCATAATAATTTACCCCTGTCCGTCAGTCCGTCCGTTCGTACGTTCGTCCGTCCGTCCGGATAAAGATACATGATATGTCCGGCTATCTCCTCATACAGTTTCCGAGCTACAGCTTTAATATATTGTAGGATGTTTCCACACATGATAGAGGCATGCATGTCTACAAGATTTTGATCTTTTTCAAATATTTACAAAATTTAATTTCTTATGGTCAAGCGGGGGCATCATTTGTGTCTTACAAACAGACAATTTCAAGTTGTACTTCAACATCACTGTTTGTCAATTCTAAACTATCATGTAGAACTATACTCAATGACATGCATATAGCTGAGCAGAGGTTATAGGGGGGGGGGGGGGGGGCTTCGTCTATATCTAGTTTATAAGTTCTTATTGGCTTTGAAGTAGCCTTCATTTCGGAGCCCTTTATAGCTGACTATATATGCGGTATTGGCTTTGCTCATTGTTGAAGGCCGTAGGTTGGCATATATTTGTTAACTTCTATATCATTTAGTCTCTGGTGGAGATTTGTCTCATTGGCAATCATACCACATCTTCTTAATTTTATAATTATAGTCGTGTCACTTACTAGTGGAACACGAGTTTGAAATAAAAAATAAAGACATTGGTTATTTTTACGTTTTGTTTCTATCTTAAGTTAATTTAAAAAACGGGTTGCAAGCGCTATCTTGTAATGAATACCCCACTCGTTATTAGACGAATAAATCCAAAATGGCATACTCATTGGTTATGAACATATCAAACTTATTTAAGTTTCACCAAGCAGGAAGTGGCTATCTGAAAATCTCAGGATTCACCTAAGATTATCCCCAGTTTTGGTTGGGTTCGTGTTGCTCAGTCTTTATTTTTCTATGTTGTGTTTTGTAAACTGTTGTTTGCCTTTCGGTCTATTTTTTGTTTTTTTTTTGCCATGACATTGTCATTTAGTTTTCGACTTATGAGTTTGAATGTCCCTTTGATATCTGTCGCCTCTCTATTACCTGGTACGACTTTTGATAATAAAATTCCAGACTAAATTTTAAATTTTTCATAAAACATAAGCGAAGAAACGTTTATCCACCAAATGATGAAAAACTAATATTCGATAGAAAAAATAATACTAAAATGCTCAATTCAGTAGACTAACTATTATATATATACATATATATATATATTGTTTAATGTGATACACAACATATATAACTAAAGCCACTCAAAGAACCCTATTGCTTTAAGTTCGCCTTTGAATTTTTCTTTTTCTTCCTTGGTACATTCTCTCATTGGTGACCTTGGTGGTCCCATCTCGACTCCTGTATATGACATAATTTGTTTTAAAGCGGCAACATTCCCACCTTGAAGATTCCCTGAAAATTAAATGTCAAGTAATGTTAAGCACCAATTGAAGAACGGAAATTCAGACTTCGCAAACAATTTTTCTTTTTCTTTTATATTCAATAAGACAAAAATGCAACTGCATAGAATAGTTGAGGTCGATATTCTTTACTTTTAATTTATCATTTTTATTAGAAGTGAAATAGGTACAAGATGTACATATCATATCATAAAGAAAGAAAACACGCAACTTCCATGTTGAACACTTTGATATATTGTATAACATCTGTCTATTATTGAAGTAAATATGGTGATTACTATAGATGCTTTAGATGGATTGGTGTCTGATTGAAGTATACCCCGAACTTTTCATACTCTGTAAATAAACTCATCAAAGATACCAGGATTGAAATTTTGTATTTGCGCCAGACGTGCGTTTCGTCTACAAAAGACTCATCAGTGACGCTCGAATCAAAAAAATTTAAAAAGGCCAAATAAAGTACGAAGTTGAAGAGCATTGAGGTCCAAAAATTCCTAAAAGTTTTGCCAAATACAGCTAAGGTAATCTATTCCTGAGGTAGATAAGCCTTAGTATTTCAAAAATGTAAAGTTTTGTAAACAGTTAATTTATAATTATGACCATATCAACGAGTTAACTTTGTGATAAAAAAAACTGCAATTAAAGCGCTGTTTCTTTTGAGTTTTAAAGGCGATCGGACGTCAACATTTTTGTCTGTGGACAATACCTTTTTAGTCACCCTCAAACTATCTTTTGCAAATAATATTTGAAAAATTTGATTTTGACATTATTATGTCAAAGTCAAGATAACAATAGATAGACTTAAATGTTTTTTTTTATGTTTCTTTTGAACAGTATTTTCAATCTTCAACAAAGTAGGTAACATATTTCTTATTTTCAAATTTAAAACTGTAGGTCATGCTTATAGTCAAAGACTGCATTATAATAGAATAAAATTTTGTATAGGATCTTTGAAAAAGTCTCATGATTCTGAAGTCACTCGGTCAAAGATCATGATATCAACAGAAATTAATATAATAAAAATTTTAGCAAATTATTGGTTTTAGATAATATTTCACTATTTAAAACACGAATCTAGTCATAACTAAAGTTGGTTTGATAATTTCGCCTGAGAACAGAAAAAAGAAATGGCAATGCCTTGTTTCTGAACAAAAAAACTTCATGATGATTGCGACCATAGTGCCGATGAAACTTTTAATTTTTAATTGTATCCAACCCATTTATCTTTCTGTTGTATCTATATTTCACAACGGACTATCGAGGAAACTAGGGTATTGAATTTTCCCATTGATTTGTCCGCCAAAGTTTGTAAGTTGTAAATATTACACCATGTTTGCAGTACCTAAAATTACATCATATAACTTCTCGATCTAGTTACTAGGTCTCTTTATCGGCCTTCTCAGAATATTTCATATGTGTTCAGAACGAAAAGAAAAAAAAACCAACATTGACCAATAAACCATAAAAATGAGGTCAAGATCAGATGAATCCTGCCTGGCAACATGTACACCTTACAACAATTCCATTTACCGAATATAGTTGATCTATAATTGCTTGTAGTATCTGAGATACGGACTTGACCACAACAACTAATAAAACCTTGATCACTGATCCATGAAAGCAGGGTCAAAATAGGCTCACTACAGCAGGACGCTCGAGAATACCAAGAAATATGAACAATACTCATAACAGGTATCATGAAGTCTCATAATAAGTAAGTATTTAAAATAAATTGCCAGACGGAAGAAAAAAATACAACATTTTTTACTGAATTAATAGTCTATCACGCATTAATTCTTTGCTGTTGAAAGATTTAGGAATGTTTTCGCATTAAAAAATATCATTAGTCAGTGCTTTAGTTCGATTGAAATGAAAGACGAAATGAAAACTACATCCTCAATGTTTCTATCCTAAGACGGTAAAACCAGTGTAAACTTAAGATATACAATTTACATTATATATATATATGTATTTGTTTATTATTAACTTACCATATTTATACATAACACGGCACAATCTTTGTCCTTTCATTTGTTCTTCCCTGGCCTCTGGCAAGCTTCCTTGTTTTATTAATGCTAGCATTTTATGGTAAACCTTCGGCATAAAATTATACAAACTACCAACCCCACCATGAGCTCCCATTGCTATACCACCAACAAATTGCTAGAAATATATATAAAAAATAAACATAAAAAGTTAAATGAAATAATAAAATATATTTGTTTTTACAAAATAAGTTGCATACTTTTGTTTCCAGAGTTTGTGATTTTGTGGTTTTCGAAAAAAGATATATATCCAGAAACAAATGTCACACTAATATTTTGAGCTTTTAAAATTATATTAGGCATCAACATATGGTTTTGATGAAGCTTCACTTATATCAATCAGCTATGATTTCAAGTTGAAACACTTTTAAAAAATCGTTGCCTTAAATCATTTCCGAATAATTCTGTTTTCTCGGAGTATAGTTGAATTGTTATGGTAAAGATAACATGTTATAGCAGAAACTTTCAAAATAGGATGAAAAAGGGTTATTTATTTAAATCATGTAATGTATGATAACTTGAGTAGCCCTAAACTTGCTTAATTAGAATGAAACTTAAACAAACGAAAGATATAGGGAAGTAAAGAATCCTATTGATTTTGGGACCAAAAGTTCAAATGGTAAGGTCACCGTTAATGAAAAAAGAAGAAAAGATTAACATTGGATTCCGGATGGTAACCGTAGTTTCGCTTGCTTGTTTAGAATGAAACTTATACAGATGAAAAGTAAAGTTGAGAGAAAAAGGCCTCTTGATTTTGGGGTCAAAAGGTCAAGTTCACCATTATTAAAAATATAAAAAAGAAAGAAAACTGATATGTTTTCTATACTATGTCAACCGATTGCAAGTTAGAGTTCATCAGATAAAAGCTTAATTGGTCAGCAAACCACAAATCACCAAAAATAAGTATTTTATTTGTCCGCATACTGTCTCAATTGCACCTTTTAAATAGATGCCACTTTTTCCCTTTTCTATGAATAAATGTGGGGTGCGGGGAGTATCTGTTGGTAGTGCTGACTTTTTAATTGTTGCTACTTATATTAACAGTGTACTTTGTTATGACTGCAATGTGGGGCGCTAATTAAGCACTAGCTACAGAGGGAATGCCTTGTGAAAACGAGTTTAAATGAATTCATACAGACTCAAACATAAATCTAAAATTGCAGGAGTTGTATAGTGAGCTGGGAGTTTAGTTAAACAAATATTTTATTTTTCAAAGGTGCACTAATTGCAATTAAACAATAGAAATAAAGGGATTCGGATCCAAGAAGAACTTATATAACTCCGTCTTCCTAACTGTGAGTTTAGATTGATGATTGAGTCTGTATATATTCAATTAGGACTCGTTTACCACGAAACATGTATGAAAGCGAAAATATCCAACGAAATTTCTAAAAAAGTGAATTCCATAAAAAAATCAAAGTGCTGCGTTTGTTGAGGCTGGTAAAATTTAATTAACGCAATTTCAATGATGTTAATAATAAGAATAATGATAATAATGGTGATAAAAAGCGTTACCTCATCGCAACCAAACAGAACATTTACACCACTGAAAACCACTCCAATCATATCTGGAAGGTCTTTGGAAGAAAATTTTATTCCTCCAAAGTTTGGTATCTCTTTCTGTGCTCTGTATGAAAAATCCTCCATGTTTACTAAAACACAAATATTGAAATAAATATGAGAGAGTACGTGTAAACCAGGTTAAGAAACTCAGTAACTGGGAGAATTCTTTTAATCAGTATTGTTAAATTCTTTATTAGCCTGAACTTGCAATTTCATTTTTAAAAAATACAGATTTTCTTTGTTTAATTCGTTCTTTTCAACTTTGACATAAAAAAGCATGATGTATACAATGTACTACATTTTTGTAAATTATTAAAAAAAATAATTTAGACCCCTGACCCCTCTTAAAAAGCATTTTTTTGCTAACTTTATTTTTCGAAAATGCCTATTAATTTCCATTGATCTTCGTAATGAATAACAGTCTGATTACTCTTGGTGATCATTCCAATGACATGTGACAGTGATGTTCGGTTCGGTTTAGAATCTGTATTTTACATAACATAATTGATGAAGCTTTTAATACAATAGACAAACATAAATGTTATACTAGTACTTACATTCTACTCCAGTCATTATTGGAAGATGGTAATAAATAAAAGGCAGTTTTGGTGCAGTTTTAGCAATCTCTGCACAGTGATGAACGAGGGCATCTGTAAAATAAAATCTTGTAAAAATACGTTTCTTTGCAACTGGCTCTTAAATTTTATAATTATGACTACAGATATTAAACTGTGCTAAAAAAATCGTGACGTCCGATCTCCTAAAACTGTATGACTTATTCTTACTTCTTTAAAATACTACAGACTATTATGCTAAACAAATACTGGTTTTCAATCCTAATATGTGGCAGAAATTTTCAGTCAGATATTTTTTTTTTATTTAAGCTGTCATTTCAATGCTAAGAATGATATGATAGTTGATGATTAAGATTATTGATATGAATAAATAGAGATGCCATTAAGACAGCATACCAACGACATCTAGAAGACAACACATATACTCCAACTATAGACAGGTGTCTGTACAATATGTCAAGTTCTATATTGTCTAGATTCTAAATATGTGGATGAATTAAATAAAAACTGTCAAAAATCAATAGTATCACCAAATTCTTCAAATGACAAACACATTAACAATATTATTGTACAACCGTACTTACCGATGTTTGACGGTTTAAAGAATAAGGACGGTAAAGATGCCACTGCATTAGCACCAACGTCTTGAGCATGTCTAGCCTAAGGAATTAAAAATCTGGTTAAAACTGATTGCAAACTATTGTACTAAATGGTTTATGATATAAAAAGCAAACATTTAAAATACAACATGGCTCTATGTTAACATTAATGTCATTAAAGTGATGTTACGGTTGCTTATACATGTAATTCTTACCCCCACCTCATTTGAACTTTGGTGGATAGTTCTCGCACTGGCAATCATACCACTTCTCCTTTTTTTATAATACAACAGAGATTTAATTTCTTTTATGCGGGATTTCAATTAAATGCAATTTTTGGATACTTTCAACTGAATCAATGTGTAGAATGAACATATTAACTGTTTCGAATAACTTTAGGTTTAATGAAAAGTGAATTTACAGAAAATGACCAAGGAAATGATTTGTGTTTTGCAAAGTTAGCATTTTTGAAGTTCTTTTATTAAAGGAAATAATTTCAACAATAGAAAATTATGTTTAAAGAAGGCTTAAGTCCTTCAGTCTCTACAAACGTTAAAGACTTAAGTCATGTGATGAACTTTAGATTTGAACTCTAGTCTTAAAATCAAGTAGAATTCAAACAATACCAAACTTTGGGTTATCGATATCAAGAAAACCGCTAAAACCGGCGCTAAAACCGGTGCTGAAATCGATGCTAAAACCGCTAAAAGGTGTCTTGAACTTACAGTGAGGTGTATGTGTTTGCTTTATGTTAAAGGCTGTGACTATATGATGAAAAACAGAAAAATAAAAACGAGCTCTCAGTTTTAAAGTATTTCAAAGTGCATATGATATGTGAGTCTTGTGTCATAAATATATACACAAAAAGACTAACACTGAATGGACTTACCAATTCTTGACTTTCTTTCATGTTAATGCAACCAACATGCACTATTATAATCAGTCTAGAAAAAAGAAAAACACAACTGTATTTCAGAATGAAGCATAAAAAAATAGTTGTTTTTTAATTGATATTAATGTAAGAAGGATTAAATACATTGCATGTGTTTCATTTCATGTGGGTGTTCATACAAATCCTTAAGGGCATACGAAACAGTTTTGATCCCACGGTGATTTTTTTTACGAAAATTTGGAAACAAGCTATTTTTCACCTAGTCAATTCAAATATGTAATAAAAAATAGACATGCATGTGCTACTTTCAGATATAAATTGGGTCGAAATTTTAGACATTTACTAAAAATTTCGTTTTTTTGGACATTTTTATCCTTTGGATAGACATACATGTACCTAACATTTTTGTTTCAAAAGATAAACAAAAGCGGATTTTTGTAAAAACTTTTGAAAATCTTCTTTACATAAGTATGCTCTAAATTTGTATAAAAATTCCTTGGAAATATTTAATTTTATCTAATTTTTATGATTTTAGAAAAAAATCGGCAGTTTTTGCTGTATATTCATCTAATTGAAAAATTTTCATCGGTGACTTTTTCATAAAAATTGGTACAAATCATCTTCATACGTAATCAAACCTAATGTCATTTTAAAAAAGAGGGGTCCATAAACTCGTTTTTAAGTTAAATCAGTCTGAATGATAAAAATCAGTCGAAAAATGCATCTTTTCCAGATATGTCACAGTTTGACGTCGCGAAAATAACATTTTACGTTAACAACGTCATTACCTCCCCCTGTAACTGTATATCGTATGCCCTTAATATTAGATGAGTTTACTAAAATGACAAAGTTGACAGTGTTCCTAAATATCGAATTCGTACCTCTTCTTGGAAACTTTAATCCAATGTTCTACGACTTCTTTTCTTTCTTCCTTTGTTAATGATTTCCCTTCACCTGTAGTTCCATTTACTGCAACGGTTTTCGAAATTGTTATATTTATTGGTTTGCATTGTTTAAACACAACTGGTTAATGTGCTTAATACCACGAATTTCAAATAAATTACCGTAACGACCTATTGAACTATTCAGTAAACATGTGTGTACATTAGTTAAAGCCTATATCAATGCGATCAGGAATGGCATGGACATAACTTTATTTGAAAAACGGCTAGGTTAAATGTATTTTAGTATCTTGCAAAGTTCTTTAATTTCACTTTCAGACATAAAAAATTAAGTTCTGTCACTCAATAACTCATATTTCAAAGAGTGCTTGCATCTCATATATCCTAGTGAACTAATAATAATAATAATAATAATAATAATAATAATAATAATAAATTCTTTATTTAAAGAGGGTAAACACAGTTAGTTACAATTACTAATCTTCCCTGAGGCCCTCATATACAATACATGTAAAAAATAATAATAAGAGAAAAAAAGCAAACATACAACATATTAACACAATCGTATAGTCATGATAGTTTAATGTACATGTACCATAATTAGAACATATAAAACAGTTACAGATTGCATGTAGTAAATAGATATTATATACAAATCAAAATCATACTTATGATTAAGATAACTATCGAAAGTAGAAGGTCTGCTTCATATCTTGATCTTTACCTCAATATTGACACATATAGACGACTTCAAACTAGAATATATATGATAAACGTGATTTTTTAAACTTTCCAATTGTAAATTTCCCATTTCTCAACAATAACATACCCTTTGCTCTATCACATGGCTTTGCCATATCTCGATTAATACGTTACGCTGCATGTTTGCGGTATATATACTTAACTATTAGGGTTGTGCTCCTAACACATAAACTACCACAACAAAGTAATGAGGAAGAACGACTAAAATCAACACTGTGAAAGTCTTACGGTCACCATCACGTATTGGTTGACCGATACGATATATCGGTGTTTCAACTTACTAGCGACATATTTTCCCCGTGTAAGATCGTTATATACCAGTCTGATCTGTGTCCTATTCCCGACTGTGACATTTTGACTGGGTGTGAATTCGCATGGTGGATGATGCATGCATATCAGGTGGCGTTTACCCTGTCGACTCACCCGGACTCGCTCCTTTTGGAGTTCACCCGATTCCATCGGTTTTTATTTCTTACCTTGATTTGTCTCTTTCTAATCGATTTTAACATCGGTAACTATTGTCGCCTGAATTTACATTCGGTAACTGATACTGGTGATGGGTATACGTTTCTTTTGCATTTGGTCAAGTTTCAGGTTTCGAAAATGTGTTTGACCGATTGTTTACGAAATTGGTGATGTCTTAACATTCTGCTATTGCAAGATGCCTTATGAAAGTAATTTATAGGAGTAACACTACGGATGTCATGTGGGGAAGGTTCTACTATCCCTTCCAGATCACCCCTGTTTTTTTTTGTGTATTCATGTTGCTCAGTCTTTAGTTTTGTGTGTTGTGTTTTGTAATTATAAACTGTTTGTCTTTTGGTTGTTTTTCATTTGTTTGCCATGGCGTTGTCAGTTTGTCATTGACTTATGAGTTCCATTTTCCGTGTGTCTTTTTTGGGGGTTTCATAACGAGTGGGAGTTGGATTATAATAATAACTATAAAACACTAATGATGCATATTACTAATAATCAAATAAATTGCATTGAAAAATTGTTCTCACCGTAAATCTCCGTAATGTTGTTGTTTATTAGATATTCACAGTATGGTTCAATTTGTGAAAAATTTATGTCACTGCAAAATAAAAAAATCAGACAGAAATCAAAATATTTATCTGTAAAATATTTGAAAAGCAGATCATATGTAAGAAATAAGACACACTTTGAATTTTATTGCTTTGCCTTAGAACACATTAACATTTTAGTAAATATACATTTTGTACCATTGACATGTTTTAGAAATCAGTCACGTTATGTTGGTACTTTTGATTCTTCTTTGCTGTTACTTGTACGCTCGAGAAGGTTTATGGCTTGACATCATGTATAGGGAATAGTATCCTAGTGTTGAAGACCGTATTTTGACCTCCAAATGTTTTTTAATATTTGTGCCCCAACCACCCCACTCCTTTTTGCCCCATTTGTGTATTTTTTTTCTTATTTCGTCAAATGCAGGGGTTCAAAAGAACGTCTTTCAAAAAATGTTCCAACAGTTTGTTTATTATTCATTTGAATTAATGACTGAAATCTTAAAAAAAAAAATACGAGAGATGACATCTTGTAGGACATCATCTATTATTCATTGAAGTCGAAAATTTGGAGTTGGATCCTATAACTTCAAAATATCAATGAGAAATAATGAAATTTATCGTTCAGTTATTTATGATGAATCAAACAATAATTTATCAAAGTGTATTATGAATTAAAAAGACAAAGATGTCAATCTGATTAAAATTCTGGTCTACCGATTCCGAAATTACAGATCCATATTTTGATTATATTGACAAGGATCCTATCCCCCTATTACTTAATTTTTTCTCAAAACTAGAAAATAAATAAAATCCACCATTTATTATAAACACATGTCCAATATATGAATAAGCTCAAAACTGACACGTAACTTTAATCTATTATATCATTTCGCCTTTTCAAACGACTCTTTTATCTATATTACTAAAATAACGAGACCCAATTTGTTAGCCGGCATGACGGAAAAACGACGAATCAAAGAATTCAACTTTATATATAACTAATATAGGACAATGGTGTTGATTAAAAATTACACCATACCAGGCTCTTTTGTTTTCCACATAATTAATATTACCAATAATTAACAAGTTCCGGTTCGAATCCGATACAGATACCAATAGTATTTGTCACATGTATGTATGTTCTGTATCTTCCTCCTTTATAAGGAGCACCACAATGGGCTATGGTGTAAAGGATGACATTTAGCACACTGCATCGGTACAGATTGAATATGAGCATTTGCCTACCCAGTTTCCCAGCCTGTCCGTAACTGATATTACTACCAGAAGGTTAACCATCCCCAAAACAATAAGTACAATGTAATAAAACATAAATTTAGTTTCCGGTTGTAGTACAAAAAGCAGGACGGGTTCAAACAGAAAGATTTTGAAAGCAGAGAAAACTGTGCACGTTAAATTCAGCCTGACTTTATCAGATGACAATACGAATACTAAAAATCCAGGCTAAAATAAGGTGTAAGGAACCTTCCAATTTGTTAGCCGGCATGATGTAAAATCGACGAATCGAAGAATTCAACTTTATATAGAAATTATAACTAATATGGGATAATGATGCTGATTAAAAATTACAAAATTCAAGGCCGTTTTGTTTTCCACATAATTAATATTACCAATAATTAACAAGTTCCGGGTTGACTGATTCAAAAAGAAAGATTTTGAAAGCAGAGAAAACTGTGCAGCTTATAATCAGCATGACTTTATCAGATGAGAATACGAATACTAAAAATCCAGGCTAGAAATAAGGCGCAGGTACTTTAATTCAGCCACGAAACGGCGATGTCGAGGGTGTGTTCTAGTATAATCTATGCATTAGCTTTGATCAAAACTAATGTTTTATGAAAGTGATAAATACAATAATTGAAAATTTCTTCATGCTCCAATATTTGATCTTAACGTCGAAATAAATGCAAAGAACTGTTTTTATAATAATAATAATAATAATAATAATAATAATAATAATAATAATAATAATAAAAATAAAGATTATTATTTTTTGGCACTGGTGCTATATGTGTTTATTTATCCTTCATCAGTTCACTATAGTTGCTTACCGTTATAAAGAGCATAGATTATGAAATTTGTACAATTTTTTGTTTATTGTATTTATGTGTTTGTTTTTCTTGACTGTCATTGATCGATACAGACTGTGTAACCAACGCGCTTCCTTCTGCCATTTTTAAATGCAAGAACTGTCTCGATTTTAGTCGAAGTTGGTAGTAGCAAATCGAGTTTGCGTTTCGTTGAGGATGACTTACGGTATTAAGTTATTTTTACTAGATCATGAGCCTTTGAATCTGAACATTTCCATGGAAGTTGTTCTTGGAATGTCTTGTTTTCATTATGTTGAGAAAATACTGAGCTGATACATGTATTAAATTTATTCATGTATTGAATCGTGTGATTTACTGATCGAATTTGCGTTTGTTCCGGATCACCTACTTTTCACAGACTCTTTTTGTCATTCTGTTGACGGGGGAATGTGTGTCGAATCTTTCGTTTGTTTGTTTGGTTTTTTTTTTATTTTCTGTAACATTGTTGTCTTTATTTCCTTTTATTAATGCACATTGAATGATGTATCCATTGTTTATTTGTTACATATAGAACTTACCCATTTTCTTTCATCGGAGTAAAGACAGCAGGAACAAGGCCTTCCAGCCAAATTTTCTTTTCCTTAAAATATCGATACATGTATTTTATTTTTTATGTACATGAAATTTGATTACAATTAATCATTTCGAAAGATTATGTTTACAAGGTAAAGTGCTTAAAAGTTACTTTCCTACATGTTTAACAAAACGATATTTAGGTTTGCCACAGTGAGCTGAAATAGTATATACTTATTCACTGGCTATGAGGACAATATATAAATAACACATAATTGAGAGAGTGATAGAGCAGATTGTTACCCCGAGAAAACATTGTCAACTGAGGCGAAGCCAAGGTTGACAATGTATTTTCGAGGGGTAACAATCTGCTCTATAACCCTCTCAGATATGTGTTATTTAATTTATTATAATGAATGTTCTGTTATTACTGTCTATTAAATTTCAAATTCAAAGTAATAAACTATGACGTCTTGTACATAACAATCAACTGTATTTATTAAAGCGCACACTTGATCAAACGTCTCCGTGAAGGGTAATAGAGTATACTTGCCATGGGATAGAGTAAATTGTCTCCCTCGTTTTAACCAATCAAAATCTGGCATTTTGACATGAAGTATAATAATAGCAAGTTTATTGTCCCCGACATACTATTTCTCGACGCGAAGCGTGTATTGTTTACACATGGTACATGTTTGGAATTTTTCTGTTTAAATGTTTTTATTAGGGTTTCATTGTTGTCGCCTAACATATACCTGGTTGATAGTCTGATATATCCCTCGTTTTCTATGTGATCTTATTTCAGTCTGCGTCTGCAAAGTGCTTCCTGTGTGTTGTACTTTGGTTTCATTTGGTAACTATGATTTTGATTTTCAGATATGACGAGTGTATTTATATTTGACTAATGATGAAACTGTTGAGCAAGTTTTTTCTTCACATGTGGAAGGTTCGTGCACTTGTGCGAGTTTAAATAGTTTGTGTACACCTGCTAAACTCTATTGTACAAGGTTATCTGAATTTGATTTTGCAGTAGGTGTAGACCAGTTTATATCGACGCAAAGTATAACATGGTAGCCTCCTTTCCCGTCTCGAAGTTCTATTTCTCTTTTACTCTCGTTATGATTATATGCTTCTACGAGGCATAGAAAACGAGCCAATGTAGAGATATCTGGTCCCACATACTTTTACCAATTCAATTTCTCACGATATGATAAACTCTCAGACTGGTTGTTCCATTGCTATAAAGTTTTAGTTTAGCGAAATATGTTGCTTGATATTGGATCGCATTTCATGACAGGTTTTTGCCAAGTTAATGATATTGTCCCGCAAACAAGGTTCTGTTTAATATAGTAAATCGCAGCTTCAAATTCAGATCTTTTGCATTTCATTCTACAACAGTTTATAGGAAGTAGTCTTATGTTGGCTTTCTTGTATGTGTGTTGGTAGAATTTAGTTGTTTTAGCACTAAGATTTGGTCTGGGTCCTTCAGTCTCTTTTTTTAGCTCAACTGGCCCGAAGGGCCAAGTGAGCTTTTCTCATCACTTGGCGTCCGTCGTCCGTCGTCCGTCGTCGTCGTTAACTTTTTACATTTTGAACTTCTTCTAGAGAACCACTGAATAGAATGAAACCAAACATGGCATGAATGTTCCTTATGAGGTGCTGACAAAGTGTTGTTACTTTGAAGCTGATCCATTATCCAAGATGGCCGCCAGCGGGGGACTTAGTTTAACATAGGACCCTATGGGAAATACATACAAATGTCTTCTTTTAGAGAACCACTAAATGGAATGAAACCAAACATAATATGAATGTTCCTTATGAGGAGCTAACCAAGTGTTGTTACTTTGAAGCCGATCCATAATCCAAGATGGCCGCCAGCGGGGGACTTAGCTTAACATGGGACCCTATGAGAAATACATACAAATGTCTTCTTTTAGAGAACCACTGAATGGATTGAAACCAAACATGGCATGAATGTTCCTTATGAGGTGCTGACTAAGTTTTGTTACTTTGTAGCTGATCCTTCATCCATGATGGCCGCCAATGGGGGGACTTCCTTTAACATAAGACCCTATGGGAAATACATACAAATGCTTCTTCAAGAGGTGCACTGAATGGAATGAAACCAAAACATGGCATAAATGTTTCTTATGAGGTGCTGATGAAGTGTTGCTACTTTGTTGCCGATTTACTGTTCAAGATGGCCACCAGGATTTTTTATTAAATTACAGGACCAATATTAAACCAAATTTGGCCTCACTCATTATTAGGGTATCTGTTATGATTTTAATCTATTTTTACATGATTTCCAAAACCAAAGTAGAATTAGGTGAGCGACACAGGCTCTTGGGAGCCTCTAGTTTATTGTAGGACTGAATGTTGAATCCATAGAATCAAGTGTATTATTGGAGCCAGGAATTGGTGTGAAAAAGTTTGAATCCATATCATAACTTCCAAATGTAAAACTGAATACCTCATTACTGTAAGATTTGCAACATAGCCAGTACATTGCGTCGTTATAATAGTCATGCATCCCACCCAACAAAAAGACTCCTTCGGAGTTCCAAGTTACTGGTATTTCACAGAGCCCGTATGGATAAATACTCTTTATTTCCAGGATCAAGGTAAGAATTTGCGTCATCTGACGATAACAGTAAGACTTATGGCAATGTTTTCTTTGGAATGATAGAGAATACGTGTTTTTCTAGAAGGATGTGATAAATGCAAGGATGATGGTAAGTTTACATTTTCTTGTTGGCATGACAAGTTTGCTGTATGTTAACCACCAAAAAAAAAAACATGAACATAAAATAAAAAAAATTATCATTTAATTGTTGGATGCTTTACGTCCAGTGGAAATATTTAATTCTGGACGAGAATAAATTAACATTTAATACAATAGGTGGGTCATGTAAAAGAGGCCGTCTGGTATGAAGGTCGGAGAAAATTGGACTGCCACTGGAAAATGAGGGTATGTTGGATACGTACAGAAATTTTGCCTTGCAACAGGCCACTTACGGACCCCTCAAAGAGTTGTTGAAATGGTTTATTGTGCAGAGAGCATGACATTATCTCTACACGACTGGCAGTGGACGTGGCTGCATACTTGTACATCCAGCACAGCCAAATGGACGCCCAACTTTGGCAAGGGTTTAAATGCCGGTCGGAAGAAGACCTGTAGCGACCATATTTCTATTCCCTCGTCACCCTTTGGGTGAACATGAAAAAAGAACGTCGCCGTCTTGGATAGATATGGTCACTGAACGACGACTTTTTGAGGGGCTGGTCATTAGACATACCTCACCTAGTGGGTGCTACATATCAATATATAACAATATAATTTGGTAATGAAAATGTTTTCTTTGGAATTTGTTTTGAAAATAGTCAGTTTCTGAAAGTCGATTTCTCAATCTAGATTTGTACACTATAGGGCATGCGCTCTCCCGTCAACTTGAAAAAAAATGTAAGCTATTTATAAATAATGATTAGTACTATAAAGATACATCATAACTGGTTTTACATGTTTCGTCATTTTACCAAAATAAATAAGTTTGCATCTGAAACGTATTGCAAAGCGTTTTTCTTCTGATAGAACTTGCTTTTTTTTTTGAAACTGTGGTTTTTTGGTACCTTTTGACACAAATATCGTCCCCATCATTCGCTTTTTTCTTTGTTAGTGAATACTCAAAACCTGTCAAAAACTTTCAAAATTCAGCCATATTTAAGAATTTATATAAAGTATATGCATTTTCCAAGTCAGGAGCCTGTAATTCAATGGTTGTCGTTGGATGTGTCTGCCACATTTTTTTTTCATTTATTGTTTAAACATAAATAGGGCCGTTGGTATTTTCGTTTAAATTGTTACACATTTTATTATTAAATGGCATGGGTTCTGCTCATTGCTGATCAAGACCGTATGGTGACCTTTAGTTGCTTACATCCACGTCCTTTGTTCTCAGATGGATAGCTGTCTCATTGGCAATCATACAACAGTTCCTGATTTTTCTATAATTATGCATGAACTGAAAATGATTTTATTACTAGTAGAAGTTTTTTGGGTGTTACAAAACAAGTTTAATGTCCCTTGTCGGTACTTATACATCCTTGTCTTTTGAATAGTTGGCTTTAAGCTGTACTGCTGTACTGATGAAGGTATATCCAGAAGAGCGTTTCGGACGCGTAAAAATTCATAAAGGGATATTTTTATTTTTTAACGCATCCATTTTCTTTTGCATTTAATTGTACTAATAGAAAGATAAAACAGTCATTTTCATTTATCCCACTGTGTTTCCATGTCAGAGCAGTTTTTGTTTTGTTTCATGCTTATCCTTGTTTAATTGGATACAGTTCTACTAACTGGCTCGTAAATATGGTCTCTTTTTAGCTACAAACTCTAGTATAACGATAGAACTGTTTGTTTGTTCTGCAATTTTAAATTTTTCATATAAATTTATTTTTGACCTCAACTCCGCATTGCAATGCGTCACTGTAAATGTCCTATGGGAAGAGGGAGGGTAATTAATAAAAATACAATTTTTAAGTTAAATTAAAGATTAATGACATCACTTGTTGAATAGTCCTATATTCTTATGCATTAAATTTGACTTGTTTCATATAAATTGAAGAAGTTAAATTCATTTTTTTGTATGAAAATTCAACTTACTACTGACATGTTGATGACCTGTACACTTATAGTGTATATCTATTATCACTTATAGTGTATCATATCTATTATGATAAAATTTCAATATTCATATCTTACATGTATTTGTGTAAACATGTAACACTATATACATTTACACATATGTTTGATCTCAATTTACTTATACACAACTAAGACAAGTTAACTAAGCGTAAAAAGTAGTTCAGTCATAGATGTCTACTTGTGTTTGAAGTTGCTATAACCCCCTAGATGTATGACGAAAGAAGTTACTTATTTGTAGGTCCCATCAGAACTGGACTGGGATGTAAATTTAATCTAAATCAATGTAGTGTAAAATGTACTTGACGAAATTACTTATTTTATGGGATGCTGTTATAATATCCTAATTCCTGCATCAGC